GCGAGCAAATCGAGCAAAGGTAAAATTTTGCGAGCAGTTAAAAATTTTAATCGACCATTCATCACCCCTAATTTGATAGTGCAAGTTTTTACTTTTGTTTTTACCGAGCCGTATCTTGGTCCGCGATATAGAAGCTATATATCATCGTTCAAACTTTAAAATGTAAGATCCCTGAAAGAGTTCTCCTCACTGGAGCAATATGTAAAAGATCATTCAAAAGTTTCACGCTGGTGAAGATGTGTGGCCTGTCATGACCTCTTGCAAGTTTTTACTTACAGTAATATCACTAGTCCTGAGAGACAAACCGTAGTATAAAAAAGGGTAGTCAAGACTTTTTAAGTAAGCTTATGTTGTGGCTATCTGAAAACAGCCATTTTTATGTGTCATACGACCATTGAGAAGAAATTTACAGCACACAGTTATCAGTAAGTTAAATAAGCAGCCCATTCGCCCCTAGCGATTGTGCCGAAAACGCGTTATGAAACTAGTTGAGCAGTTTTCTAATCACTGAAACATACCCGTTTTCAGACCAAAACGGCACCAGAACCATACCCTTTGGGGCGGCAGATACCTATATGTGTTATATGAGGGAGTACCGCCCCCTCCTCCTCCCGGGATTGTTTTCACTGTGGGACACGAGGAGATGATTTATTCTCCTTATTTCACTGCACAATCTGAGAGGCATTTCGCAAGATTGATACGAATGAACTTCATGACATATAATCGTAATTTTGCTCACCAGACTAGGCAAAGAGTAATTTGAAAAACCTTAAAATATCCACATGATAAGGAGGACCGAGTTCGAACTCATCCAACGAAATGAGCAAATAATATATCCACCAGGGCCCGGTTCCTGAAAGGCCGATTAGCGTTAATCCAGGATTAAAATTTTGTTCTGTTTTTGTATTTTACATTCCTATTAGGGTATAACATTTTGTGTTATCATTACTGTATCTCTCCAGGTGCAACGTTCCAGCTTCTCTTTATCATGTGGTAAGCTGCAATTTATCGCGCGATAAACTTACTAATTATCGCGCGACAATTTTTAAATTTCTCATTTATCGCGCGAATTAAGTTTGAATTATCGCGCGATAACTTAATCCAAAAAAAAAAAAATTGCAATGTCCCTTACGGGCCTCCGTATGGCGCTTGACCTCCCGAGCATGGCGTCGGCGAAAAAGGCTCAGGATCAGATTTTTCAGAACAAATCATCTTTATTGCGCTTTTCACAAACATGCGAACCCTAAGGTTCAAAAGCCGCCTTCACAATTGCGTTTTTCGCTGCCGTCAATCATAATTACAATCACAAAACACACAAGACGGGTCGAAATCCACCAAAAGGGGGGTTTCAGAAGGAGGGTCACAACTTTTTGAGACTGCAGAAAAGGGAGGGGTCGTGAAAAATGGGCTGTTAAAAGGAAGAGGGTCATGCAAATATGTGTCCGTGATCATGCAGAGGTTCACCCACAGAAGAAAAACGAAGTTCTTTATTTTGTAAAAAACACCTGGGAGAAATAGGAGAGTCGAGTGATCAGCTGTCAGAATCAGAGTCGGACTCAGCTTAATGCTGTCATCTAAAATGTATGTATATGGCGTTACAAAGAACAGATTAGAAATATATTTTGAGCTTTGATAATATTGACTCACTCTAGTGTATTGCAAGAACTAGATTTTATCATTTATACAAGAGGGGGAGGGTCATGATATTTTAGGCCAAGGTCAAGGGGAGGGTTAGAAAATTTCACTCCTATTGCAGGGATGGGTCACCTCATTTCCGAACCCAAATTTAAAATTCCCACCCGCCTTCCCCCCCCTGCTAATTTCTGACAAGTCCCTAATTGAAGGAATCGATCCAGCTGAATCCCAGCTGAACAAATTCCATATTAAACAAACGTAACCTTTGAAGTCCTGAAGAACGTTTAATAACAATGACTTAAAAACAGCATTAACATTCCAAATTACACTCGACGTCCACGTGGGCTGGAGATTCGATCGCATAGAGAGTTTGGCGTCAGGAATGGTCACTTTTCCATACCGGATCGCATGTTTACTAGGCTACACTTTAGTGACGTTTACATAGAGTAACAAAATTCATCTCGACCAATCAGAAGTCGGATCGATTCCTGTATTTAGCCGCAAGTGTGGACGGACGATGTGGAGTTGATAAATTGTCCTTCTTCAACGGAGAATCTACCATAGGAACTGGTTAAAACTTCAACACAAAAGGGTCCTTTTCAAGCAACGGTAGAAATCGGTTAAAGCGACCCCGTGACCATTGTTTTTGTTTGAACAGCTGGAAAGAGGACAAGTAGCATTGTGGCGCCAGGAATTAAGCGTTACCGTTCAAGTGACCATGTGGACGTATTTTCTATTGAAAGAGGAAGAAAAAGAACGTATAAAGGTTTCCAGTATTTTTGTCAAAGACATGACCGGGAAGGCGAGAATCTTGTGGAACACACCTTTTCCTGCTTGACTGATATTTTGTTCCGCACTTCACATTGGACAATTAGCAATTATTCTTTATTGAACACGAGGTTAATAGAAGCGGAATATTCGCGGCGAGGTTAATATTCGGTAAGCAATAGGTTTGATCTTTACAGAATTTTCAAACATTGAAAATCAAATAGGAAACAATAGCCTAATGGGTTACATGGAATCGCCAGAAGTTTAAATTCAGCTGTAAATTGTACTTCCAAACCTAAGAAGAAAAGTAGCGCTTTGTTTTCAGCTGTCGACTCGCCAAGCTAGGGAAAATGGTATTTATAACATAGCGCACGTGCTTGCCCTATATAAGTCCTATTGAGCCGCTATGAACAAAATCTTCATTTACGCACGCCCGTGCGTAAATAAGATGACGTAAGCATTTTTTTTTACCTGGCTGCAAAGTTGTCGTCTTTTAAGCTGCAGTGCAGTTTTCCCAACCTCGTCCCCAGGGTCTTCTCGCTTTCCAATATGGCGGCGGCAGGAGAGAAGACCCTGGCACACAGCAGAAATCACGTGACTGATTTGTCCACGGAGAGTGGAAATTTATTTAAAATGGCGGCCAAGATAAAGAGTGAGAGGATCTGGGTACGAGGTCTTGAGACTGGTGAAAAACAAACAAAATGGCGGCAAAGGCAAACTCAAAAGAAGCTGAAAATATGAAAGAATGCACTTACAAGCCACAGGAATACGGTAGAATGATATAGCGATCTTATTTTCTGTTCAATGACCTTCATTTGTTTTAAGCCTGAACGTTCTGAAGCGTACATGGCACTCGATACCGCGACCTTTTTTCACTGTTTACTTTTTTTGCCCACGCTGAGTGCCAGAGGTTCAGTTTTCTTTTTTCGTGAAAGGGGGAGCTTTTTCTAACCGTGAGCGCAATTTATTTCATCTTAGGAATTTCGAGAACAGACCTCAGAAGCCAGGGAATTTTTTGTCATGACGCTCTAAAACCTCTTCCGTTCCGAAATTCAACTAAGCATTAACTTAAGTAGCCTGCGAACCGCAGACGCAT